AATCTTTTTTACAATTTTTAGTGCAAATTTAGGAGTATTGACATTGACCAGGAGTGTTTTTTCCTTGATTCTATTTCTTCAATTGACTTAAAACATAAAAAAAACATAAAGTGCAATGAAATACATGATTTGTTTTCCAATCTGGGGTCCTGACCTCCAACAGGGGTCACCATAGGGTTCTCAAGGCCTTATTGATTTTAAGGGGTATAAGAAATGTTTTTTGTTTTTTTTTTAATATGTAGTCAGGACATATCATAGCATTTAATTCATTTATGTGAAAAAAATAAATATAAGGAATTCTTATTATCAAAGTTTAGATTATTATTCTTCAAAATATAAATTTAAATAAAATATAAAAAAATGTCAGAGGATAAGGGTACAGTGAAGCCCCAGACAAAAGCTTTATTCACAGAGCCTTTACTCTTTGCTAAACCGTCTCGTCCTGCATTAGTGGGCAGTCAAAAGCAAAAACCAAAGAGCGTGTAACGCAATGGCTTAGCATCAGGAGGATGAATTTGTCAAAAAAAGAAGCCTATTACATACACATGATTGTTAAAAAAAAAAAAAGTCTATATATAAAGGTTCTAAAAATATCAGGATCGGTTAATAGTAAAGTTTACCAGTTGTTCTGTTCTGTTATTGTTATGCTCTGAACATTAAATGAAATCTCCATAAAATATGACACTAAGTCAGGGGTCGTCAGTTTACTCAGTGATAGAAAAGGGATCCCTTAAAGAAAATGGTTGGGAACCATTAAAATACAGTATTCAACCTTTGTAGACTTGACTTTCATTAGGTGCATTTATAAAGAGCAGATCACTGTAGTCTGAAAACATAAATGATATGTCATACATCTTTCCTCCATGTGATAGCAGTTTACAGCATCTTAAATCACATACATTTAGAGAAAAAATAATGTATGTACACATACATATAGTATAAACATTTAAAATCAACAATTACATAGAAAGCTGATTATAAAATAAATGGGAAAAAATGATTAAAAAAGGAGCTCAAACATTAGGAGCAACTATTGTGTCGCATGTTCTGGATACAGACATAACCACTGTCTGATACTATTTTCAGTATTTATGTAGGAAACTGTTTGTGTATTTGCAAAGTTTTAAGTGTACAGATATGTATGTCCATATTTCTCTAATAATATGCACCCATAAAACACAGCTGAGAAAATAATATGATAAAGGAATGATATGAATGGATTTGAGAAATGTTATGCCAATGGCCACCCTTAATATTACTCAACTTATAACTTCATTAATAAAAACTGATATAACATTTTTATTCTACTTCACCGTTCATCTGTTTGTGGAGGAAACAAATGTGAAGGCATAAATTGCTTAGATTAACTTGCTTCACGTCCGACTGGTGCTGCATCTCACCACACATAAATGAACAATGACCACACTACGTACAGACATTGTGAGCATACCCACACTGACACTATCAGTACTCTTTGCAATATGTTTTGATATTCATATCTGCAGTACAATGAAAGGGTTAAAGTGTAATCACAACAGCAAAAGACAACCTGACTGAGGGCTTAAAAAAAACAAACCAGCAGATTGATGACTCCAATTGTCTCAGGCAGTCCCAGTTTATGATATGGAAATAATTTAGTTTTGATTAGGCCACCAAGTTATTCAATATAGCATAATGTGCTTCAGTGGCTAAACTCAATACAGCTCAATCAAGAGTCTGTGTGATATTTCTGTAATGATCTGAGCCAATGGGACTGATTGAGCACCCATTGTCTTAATTTCTAAGCACCCTCATCATATCTGTATCAAGGAGCCCGGACGCCAAGCTCGTTGCAGCACCAAGCTGTTATGTAGGTTAGCTCCACAAAAGCGCTTTAATCCAGCAGTGGAAATAAATAAATAAAAGTGTTTAGAGAGAGGTGAGTGCTCGGTCAGCTCGCCTGCACAGCCCACACACTGCCACAGTTGTGTCACATCCAGGAGCAGCCATTCGGCCTCCGCTGATCTAATGTGGAGCGAGTGTGCCGTCTACCGTACAAAGCGAGCGCTGATGGAAAACCGCTAGCTGAATCCGCGCTTTCAGCGTGTACCTCCAGCAAGGCCACACATCCAATCATACCATCAGTCAGACTAATTGATCCCGTCATTGTTAATCCGTGACATGGGGTGTCTGAGCTGCATGGGTTACAGGAAATGCCTCAAGTTTTGACATATTTGCTGTGATAACACTGACATTTTGAACAATGTACAGATTTGAATCTAGGCCATGTGGTCATGTACAGTATCAAGCTATTCACTTATTCCCTGCTAGAACAGCAGACTGAAGTTTGTAATATAGGAACACACTTATTTGAGCCGTTAACTAATTCAATTAAATATTCTGAGTTTTAGCTAAAATTCAATGTTGGTTGCTTTTACATTTGAAAAACTTCTTTTTTTTGTTTTTTATTTTTTTTGTCCTACAATAAAACATAACTGTAGCAATCACATTATTGCTGTTCAACTCTTACAAAATTTCATTTATTATTTTAATTTAAATACAATTACTGTTGAAATACCTAAGACTGTACATTTAATAAAAATATATTTTTACAATAAAATTTAACTTTAAATACATAAGATTGTAAGTTTGATAAAATATATTTAAATAAAGTATTTAAACATTCAAATGCATGCAATCCTCCCTATATGGACAATTTTAATTCAATATTAAAGTTGTTTTTTTTTTTTTTCAACAATGAAACACAATTTTAGTTTCATAATAAAAAAAATATGTGAAAAACATTTAAATGGGAAAATGTATGCAATTCTCTTGACATAGAGAAATTTAAATTTAAATTAAAAATATGATCACAGTAAAATTACAATCAACACTGATTTTACTTTTTTTACACAATGGATGTTATTTTGATTTTTCAAAAAAAAAAACAAAAAAAAAACATTGTGTTAAAAATTTCTCAACTTTCACATTGATAAAGCTTTATATGGAGTAATTTAATTTGATATTTAAATTTAAATAAAATTATGGTCAAATTACATAAGATCTTAAGTTTGATAAGGGTTTTACTTCTACAGTTAAACTTATGAAATATTTAAACTTTTAAATTAGTTCAACTCCTTATACTTTTTTTTCTTTTTGTATTTTATGACAGATTTAAAATGTCTCTCCTGTGGAATAGTGCAAGTCTATTAAATTCAACTAAATTCAATTGGATTTAGATGATTGCATGCATGAGGACTTCACTGAACATTTGTAAAGTCGAATTTGTGGCGTGAGGACCTCTAACAAACCACCGCATATGTGCAGATTTATTGGATGAAAAGCTGTCGGGTTTCCTTCCACACCACATTCAACACAATTTAAGATCTGTACTCCTCCAACACTTTACTCCCTCCACAACTGTAACGCTGACTCACTGGGGGAGAAACGAATACCAAAAGGCAAATTAAAGGAGTCCAAGGTGTTCACCTGTTGAATCCTTCTTCTCCTCTGAACAAGGTTAAGAGCCTGAGGCTGTCATTGCCATAAAGTGTGAACTTTTCTGCGTGCGAGGCCAGGACATGGAAAAGCACCGGGGGGCACCGTGTCAGAGAAAATACTACTCCAGCCCTGCGATTGAAGTGTGGACTTAAAGCTGTGATGGAAAAGGGCAGAGCGGCTCTCGGCTGAAATGCTATATACGCATACCACAGTGAAAGTGCATTACCTATTTCCACACGGCCCTTTCAACCCTTTCCAAAGCCCTGCTGCTGCAATGTTACGAAAATACATCAAGAGGTGAGTTTGATTTGTGTGCATTTGAGTGTGATTCCCAATGTCCCCTCCATTTCTCAGTGCTTCTGTTGAACACAATGTCTGTCTTTCTCTCTCAGTCTTTCTCCCTCTCTGTGAGTGACCCCTCAGTGACCAGCCACTCTCGCCCACTCAGACACCAAAGGACGAGTCACTGAGAACATCTCCACTCAGAGGGGGAAAAGCAGAAACATGTAGTTTATTTTTTTTTGTTTTTTTCATCTGAAAACGTTTTACTTTTAAAGATAAATGTTTTATGCAAGGTGGCATTCAAGTGATAGCCTGAGAAAAAGCATGTACATGAATTGCATGCACAGAAAAACAAAAGTCAATTCAATGCTTCAAGTCAAAGCAACAAGGGGTCAGAAAATTGTCAATAAATGTATTTAATTTTTTGCAAATATTTATGAGGTTTTTGTTGACGGAAAACCCCAAATTGCATTCCAACCCCGTGATGCTCAGTGTACAAGAGGAAGTATACTCATCCACGGAAATTAATGTATTGATAAATAAAATACTAATAAAAATAGTAATAATACAATAAAACCAATGCAGTTGCAATGCAGTAACTTTTCTGATTCATGAAAAAAATCACAGTAGTCTGTTATGTATATTAGGTACATAGGCAATAATTTACCTAAAAATAATACTAATACTAATAATACTAATACTAATAATAATAATAATACATAATTAAAAAATTACAAAAAAAGGAAAATAACACTAAAATAAGAAAAGTACAATGACAAGAAATGTATTATGATTTTGGAACTAACGCTGTTTTGGTACTGGGCCAATAACCAGCGGGATTCCACTTTGTATTCTCCTATATGGAAGTTATCACAGGCCACAGTTAAACCATGACACTGAGAAACTACTGAAATTCATTTCAGGAACACACAACTTTAATTTAGAATGACACATCAAATTGTATTAATGAAAAAAAAAGTAAAATACATGCGTTGTGTATCATTTTACTTTGTCATATATGAGCTTATTTGACACAAACATAGTAAAAAAAGTTAGACGTTTTCTGTGCTGGCAAATAACAGCATTTTTTTTCTGTACCCTTATTACAATATTCACAAAGTAATAAAAGTAATACATATCGAACGGTAATCCATAAGCAATAATAATAAATATGCCACTATGTTCCTGATGCAAAGAAAATGTAAATGAAACATTTCAAAATAATGTCAGTATATGATTTTATGAGTTTATATTAACACTCAACAGTATGAGGATTTGGTTTACATTGGCATTTGGCTGAATAATTGTATGTAATTTATTTGACATTTTGTTACAGTTAAAATGTTTTACATATATGAAATTCCCTGTAAAAATGTGAAACAAATGATCTAACTTACGAATGTACAATTGTTCCTCCTCACATCTCCACTTTGGCTGTGTCAAACATTTTGTGCTTTGTATCAGCCTGTTTCCCAGCTCCCCATCACAATATATCATTTATATTTCATGTTTATCTAATTTCTGTTCATGCTCTTTATAATATAGTGCAACTTATGGTAATACAGGCTAAACAGTGAGTGAACCAGGCTGAACGCCTTGAATGACCGTCCACCCGAGACCTGGAGTGCAAACACAGCTTTACCTGGTTATATAAAAATATGGGAGATGGTACGACTGTGTTTAGAGAAATAGATGGAGAGAGAGAGAGAGAGAGAGAGAGAGAGAGGGAGAGAGAGAGAGGGAGAGAGAGGGAGAGAGAGATCCCCATAATAATAATGTCCTATAGCTGAAGGGCCACTGCACTCTCTGGCACATGCTGGCCTACATACACCCTGAGTGAACTTGATAAAAAAGTGCTGCCTTTCAGATCCTCCTGTCCTTTGTGTATCATATGTACAGCTGAGTGTGTGTAAGTAGAGTATAATACACTTTGTACTACAAGAAAAGCTCCAGACTGAGGGCCAGTGGAGTTTGTATTTTCCAGGCCGTACGAACCCGGCCTCGCTGAAACGCGATAGTGTGCAATCACATAGGTATGGCTGTAATTTCTGCTCCTGCCTGATTATAATTGCCAGCTTGGCCCTTGACGATGTTCACCTTTCACACAGAGCCTGCTCTGCCGAAGAAAAACAACCGTTGTGCCCCCACGACTTTTGACCCTATCTTTTATCAAACTCTCATCCTCTAAGCGAAGGATTGAAACGAAGACTGATGATGGTGACTAATGATGAATCCTCATGATAGCCTGAGAAAATGATGGAACTTAAAGTACCATGTGTGCTCCTCCCATAATCATCATGAGTCCAGGTCTGCACTCAGCTTTTGATCCCTTTAATGATAATAATAAATACAATGGACATATAGTTTCTGATGAGAATTTGTGTGATCATATGACACTATAAACTCATAAAGTGTGCTTACATTGAGCTGAGTGGAACCACTAGTTTTTATTTTTAGTTATAGCAGGGAAGCCAGCCACCGCAAAATAAATAATCAGATCCTTTATTTATATATTAAAGGAACAATAACACCATTTCAAGTTACTTTTTTTTTTTTTAAAAAGTCCTGCATTTTATATCTTAGTTCTGTCAGCAAACTGTTCTTAAAAAGCTGTGGGAAAAAGGCACCTGCCAGAGAAGGGACTCCCTAAAAACTTGGATGGGCACAGTTCTGCAGGACGTAACAATGCACACTTTGGTGAGCTCCATGACCTTTCAACTCGTGCTCAGAGAGCACATTCCTACTCTATATGAAAACCTATGTGCACATTTGTTAGAATGCAGAACAAAAATCCTGAATTACTTTTATTTGGTTTGATGAAAATGAGAAATTGGATTGAGTGGCAAAGTATGGGCTTGTTTACTTATTACAACTAGACTACAAGTGTATAACAGAATACACTGTTCATCTTTTCCTTTACTTTTTATATTTGGACTCAGTCCTGTATAAATAGAAACTGATAGTCTGCCTTGCAAGCCTGTATGTGCTGGGCATGATGCTAGATTGATACCAGAAGACCTCTTCATCTGAGGTAATTTTTGCTGTTGGAAATAATTCATTCCATCTAAATATCAATATATTTAAGCACTATTTAGACAATTTGAGAACTTATCAGCAGCCATGTAAAAGTCAATGAAAATCTACAGGGGGAGTGTAGTTGCTATAGCAGCTGTGCCAGCAGGACAAGGAGCACAAATCTAACTGTATCTTTGTGTATCGAGGATCACAAAAAAAAAAAAAAAAATCTCTGGTCACACTTACAGTTAGACATGAGGTCTCCTTTAGGTTTAACCTTGGGGGAAGGCAAAGATTAGGTTAATAAACAACTTTTTACTTTCTAGTTTTGCTAGCTTCAAAAAGTTACAGGACAACCCAATGCAAGCCGAGGAGAATGCACATCAGGCACATAATGCAGAACGCTATATGTGAATA